TTTGTAAAAAAAAAAATTCCATTTTTTCCGTATTTTACTTATAAATGGACTTAGTAACCAAAGGACGATAACTGTGTCCTTGGACCAAGTGTCAGGGTTAGAATATTAACATGACCGATGAAATAAGAATTTGGTGATGCCTTAGTGTAAGCTAAGAGTCGATTACCAATCCTCTATTGTGCCGCATCATATGTATAGCTTATCAACATATTCTATAGGAGTAACACGACGGACGTCACATGTGGGATCTGCTTATCCTTCCTTACCTGAGATCACCCCTGGCTTTTGGTGGGGTTCGTGTTGCTCAGTCTTTAGTATTCTATTCTGTTGTATGTTTTGTCTTTTGGTCGTTTTGTTTGCCATTGTATTGTCAGTTCGTTTTCGACTTGTTAGTTTGAATATCCCTTTGGTATCTTTCATATCATAATAAGCATGTGTACCAGGTTTTTAGTTAACTTGACCAAAAACCACCCTATTAAAAACATACTTAAACCAAAAGTAGATACGAGAGGGACGGACAACGGACAAACGGAGGCACAGTCTGGAAAACATCATGTTCCTCTCCTATCGTCGGAAGGGCAAATGTATGTTTGTTGTTAGTCTGTTTTAAACGAAGTGTGTTTATAAACATTCACACAATTCAATAGCTAATGTTTATTGCGTATTCTGAATATATCCATTTTAATAATTTTATTTTTTGATTTCAGGCGATGATAGATGTAACAGTTTGTGCATCTGGACACTACCACGGGTTATGTTCTTCTCATATATTTTATGATGGTATAATACTAAACCCCTAACAGGAGGGATTGTGCCTGATATTCATATGATGAAGACATAATCTTTCAATCAGTTTAATTGAGGTCTGGAGCTGGCATGTCAGTAACTGCTAGTAGTCTGTTGTTATTTATGTATTATTGTATTATTGTCATTGTCGAGCCTTCGACTTTTGTCGAGAAAGCAAGACATAGCGATCCTACATTCCGTCGTCGGCGTCGTCGTCGTCGTCGTCGTCGTTGTTGTCGTCGTCGGCGGCGTCCACAAATATTCACTCTGTGGTTAAAGTTTTTGAAATTTTAATAAATTTCGTAAACTATCCTGGATTTCTACCAAACTTGGACAGAAGCTTGTTTATGATCACAAGATAGTATCCAGAAGTAAATTTGTAAAAAAAATAAATTCCATTTTTTCCGTATTTTACTTATAAATGGACTTATTTTTTTTCTGCCAGGAAACATTACATTCACTCTGTGGTTAAAGTTTTTGAAATTTTAATAACTTTCTTAAACTATCCTGGAATTCTACCAAACTTGGAAAGAATCTTGTTTATGATCATAAGATAATATCCAGAAGTAAATTTTGTAAAAAAAAAAATTCCATTTTTTCCGTATTTTACTTATAAATGGACTTAGTAACCAAAGGACGATAACTGTGTCCTTGGACCAAGTGTCAGGGTTAGAATATTAACATGACCGATGAAATAAGAATTTGGTGATGCCTTAGTGTAAGCTAAGAGTCGATTACCAATCCTCTATTGTGCCGCATCATATGTATAGCTTATCAACATATTCTATAGGAGTAACACGACGGACGTCACATGTGGGATCTGCTTATCCTTCCTTACCTGAGATCACCCCTGGCTTTTGGTGGGGTTCGTGTTGCTCAGTCTTTAGTATTCTATTCTGTTGTATGTTTTGTCTTTTGGTCGTTTTGTTTGCCATTGTATTGTCAGTTCGTTTTCGACTTGTTAGTTTGAATATCCCTTTGGTATCTTTCATATCATAATAAGCATGTGTACCAGGTTTTTAGTTAACTTGACCAAAAACCACCCTATTAAAAACATACTTAAACCAAAATTAGATACGAGAGGGACGGACAACGGACAAACGGAGGCACAGTCTGGAAAACATCATGTTCCTCTCCTATCGTCGGAAGGGCAAATGTATGTTTGTTGTTAGTCTGTTTTAAACGAAGTGTGTTTATAAACATTCACACAATTCAATAGCTAATGTTTATTGCGTATTCTGAATATATCCATTTTAATAATTTTATTTTTTGATTTCAGGCGATGATAGATGTAACAGTTTGTGCATCTGGACACTACCACGGGTTATGTTCTTCTCATATATTTTATGATGGTATAATACTAAACCCCTAACAGGAGGGATTGTGCCTGATATTCATATGATGAAGACATAATCTTTCAATCAGTTTAATTGAGGTCTGGAGCTGGCATGTCAGTAACTGCTAGTAGTCTGTTGTTATTTATGTATTATTGTATTATTGTCATTGTCGAGCCTTCGACTTTTGTCGAGAAAGCAAGACATAGCGATCCTACATTCCGTCGTCGGCGTCGTCGTCGTCGTCGTCGTCGTTGTTGTCGTCGTCGGCGGCGTCCACAAATATTCACTCTGTGGTTAAAGTTTTTGAAATTTTAATAAATTTCGTAAACTATCCTGGATTTCTACCAAACTTGGACAGAAGCTTGTTTATGATCACAAGATAGTATCCAGAAGTAAATTTGTAAAAAAAAAAATTCCATTTTTTCCGTATTTTACTTATAAATGGACTTATTTTTTTTCTGCCAGGAAACATTACATTCACTCTGTGGTTAAAGTTTTTGAAATTTTAATAACTTTCTTAAACTATCCTGGAATTCTACCAAACTTGGAAAGAATCTTGTTTATGATCATAAGATAATATCCAGAAGTAAATTTTGTAAAAAAAAAAATTCCATTTTTTCCGTATTTTACTTATAAATGGACTTAGTTTTCTGCCAGGAAACATTACATTCACTCTGTGGTTAAAGTTTTTGAAATTTTAATAACTTTCTTAAACTATCCTGGAATTCTACCAAACTTGGAAAGAATCTTGTTTATGATCATAAGATAATATCCAGAAGTAAATTTTGTAAAAAAAAAATTCCATTTTTTCCTTATTTTACTTATAAATGGACTTAGTTTTTCTGCCATATACATTACATTCACTCTGTGGTTAAAGTTTTTCAAATTATAACAACTTTCTTAAACTACCCTGGATTTCTACCAAACTTGGACAGAAGCTTGTTTATGATTAAAAGATAGTATCTAGAAGGAAATTTTGTAAAAATTTTGTTCCATTTTTTCCGTATTTTACTTATAAATGGACTTAGTTTTTCTGCCATATACATTACATTCACTCTGTGGTTAAAGTTTTTCAAATTATAACAACTTTCTTAAACTACCCTGGATTTCTACCAAACTTGGACAGAAGCTTGTTTATGATTAAAAGATAGTATCTAGAAGGAAATTTTGTAAAAATTTTGTTCCATTTTTTCCGTATTTTACTTATAAATGGACTTAGTTTTTCTTCCAGTTAACATTACATACAGTCTGCAGTTTAAGTTTTTAAAACATTTATTAGATTCATAAACTATCCTGGATTTTTACAAAACTTGGACAGAAGCTACTTACAATCAAAAGATAGTATAGAGAGGAATATTTTTATTATTTTTTTTCCTCATTTTTGTTGAGCCTGCGATTAACAGCAAAAGTAGGCGAGACACTGGGTTCCGCGGAACCCTTACGAATTTTTTTGTTTATTTTTCTTTTGTTTCCTATTCTGACATCGGACTCGGACTTCTCTTAAACTGAGTTTTACTGTGTGTACTGTTGTGCGTTTGTTTTTTCTACATTGGCTAGAGGTATAGGGGGAGGGTTGAGATCTCAAAAAAACATGTTTAATTTTGTTGCGCCTGTCCCAAGTCAGGAGCCTCTGGCCTTTGTTAGTCTTGTATCATTTTTAATTTTAGTTTCTTGTGTATAATTTGGAGTTTAGTATGACGTCCATTATCACTGAACTAGTATACATATTTGTTAAGGGGGCCAGCTGAAGGACGCCTCCGGGTGCGAGAGTTTCTCGCTGCATTGAAGACCCATTGTTGGCCTTCGGCTGTAGTCTGCTCTATGGTCGGGTTGTTGTCTCTCTGACACATTCCCTATTTCCATTCTCAATTTTATCAATTTTACTTCTATTAATTTTTGGTGTGTTTGTTTTCATTGTTGTCTTTCTGTCATTTACTGATATTGGTATACATCTATATGTGAAAATGATTTCACAGATGACGGAAATCCGCTCCTTGAAAAACAAATGTTGAAGCCCAAATGGAATTTGCTGTATACTGGCACGGACAATTAAAAGTATTTTCATTTGTATATTAGTGAATCTTCTATCATTACATACTCACAAATTATCGGTATAACGATGGTTATCAGTACGACAATAAAAACTGGTTAAAGTATCTCAGTTTTGGGTGTACAATTGTATTCGATTTAAGATCGTTTCGTGTAATTTTATCCGATTTCAGTACTTGATCTCGATTGAGTTACATATGTTTAGCAATCATTTTAGCCTTTCATTCATAAGCTTTCGAATTGATTTTTTTTCAAAGCTTGAAAACAAAACACTAAAACTCAACCATTAGTAGTGTTCTAGAAGTTAAAAAAAACAAACAACAAACTACAATTAACGTCGATGCTGGACCCTACTGTATTACTTATCAACCTTTAACGTCGATGCTGGACCCTACTGTATTACTTATCAACCTTTAACGTCGATGCTGGACCCTACTGTATTACTTATCAACCTTTAACGTCGATGCTGGACCCTACTGTATTACTTATCTCTACTAATTATTGTAAAGAATTAACAATTCACAAACACCCCTTCTTCAACGTGTGAATGGATATGGATTTAGCCATCATTTTGGTATTTTTCTAGAATGTAGACACTCAAAATCCTATTTATTCTGTTTTACAAACAATCAGGCACAATAAACTGAATGGCGAGTATCGTATCGGTTAACAACCTATCTCAAGTATCCATGGGGATCATCATCACAAACAAGACGTAATTATTACTAACAGACGAGCACATCCATATTAACATTGAATCCTCATGTGGGTAATTACTTAAAAAAAAAAAAAAACTATTTCATTAGTTTAAAGAGAATCCAAAGTTAAAACAGTTCAACATGAATTTTTATTCATAAACAACAAAGAACAAATATAATATTGCAATAAAAATTCATTGAATTTAAATGACTACTGTAGCTCACATATACCAATATATTTTAAATTAATAACACCAGTCATTTTTCATTTACACAAAGTGTTTTTTTTTGCACCAATTGCTTAACCAGTCCGTTGATACATGTCTAGTTGGTTAGCTATCCATATTTAACCAATTGATTGAAGGTAACATACGGGACAATAATTCGAACTTTAACAACGAGAAAAAGAAACACTGATTTATAGTCTCAATTGTTTTTTTTAAGTAGCCTACATCCTTTTTGTGTCCATCTTGTAGATTAACAGACTCGAAATCAAAGTTGTAATGCAAGTGCTACCACTTGCACAGTATTTAGCTTTTTACGAAATCTTTGTACTAGAAATAATTGAGATTATGAAAATCAGACCTGAAAAGTCCGACTTTTGTAACTGTTTACCACTGGTTCACGAGGACCGGAGCAAGCATGTCGAATGACAGAAGGTACGTTAGAAGGACGGATGGCAGGAGACGCATTAGAAGGACGGATGACAGAAAGCACGTTAGAAGACTGAATGTCAGAAATTGGGCGAGAGAAGGACGGATGATGTACCCGAATCAAAACATTTTTTGATTTGAAATGTAATAATACAAATAGACAACAAAAAATTAAAAATAGCATAAGTAACAAGTGTGAAAAATAACGTACTGATGCAGAATCTGAGTTCTGAATTGATAATAAAAAATACTGTTGTAAATGCAACAATTTGTTCACTTAGAATATAACTATAATAAATACTTTCACACAATTACTCTTGTACTTCATATGCAGCTCAAACTGCGTGTGGTCAAAAATAAAAAAATATCCATTTCTTGTTTTATTCGAACCACTGGACCAATCTACACAAAATATTGACAGCAATATTAAAAAGTGATCTATAACTAGTGCAAACAATAAAATAGTAAAATTTATAGTAACATAAATGATAAGAATGATATATTTAAGACGATTGTCGTCACATCTTCAAAAAATATGTTCATTAACCGACTGGATAATGTCTTATGAAATATATTCATTTTGAATGAATTAATAAATAATGATACTATTTATATGCTTTAAAAAAAAGCCTCTAGAAATTTCTATTATATTAATTAATTCCTTTTTAAGGATATTTCGTTTCAACCTTTCAAATGTATGCAAGTAATATAAAATTAACACAAATAAAATTCGTTTTAAGCATTTGCATAAATATCTTTATACGCCGACGGTATATCGTTAGGTTTGTTTAACATATCAACTTAAGTATACTAGAAACAACTACTACACACTACGTTTCTATGCATACTGTCTTTGTTTAAAACGAAACATCATGTCGTTTGAATACAAAAAGATGTACAGATGCTGTAATATTATTTCAAGTCAATTACATTATCTATGCATGTTTTGCCTTGTTAGAGAGTTTCAAACGCCATGGTTTTCTAACATACATTCCGGTAATTTACCAGCTGATGAATTTGTTTAATTTCTATAGAAATTTAAGTTCGAAATATTTCATGAAGGTTGACTACAGACGATTCCGACCTCTCTTATAATGTCAATTTTCGTTTTTCAGTTGACCATAATAATTATTTATCATGCAATTAGCCAACTAATGTACAAATAACAGGTATACAAATAAATATTTGCCTTATTTGTACTTGTACTTGTTCATCACTAGAACAAAAAGAAATAAATTATACTACAAACTCGCACCACTGAAGAATTGTTTTTGATCATCAGAGAGTTTTAGATTATCTTCTATTAGTTATTTCCTCCGTTCTTGGAGCACCCTTATCACACAGAGACAGAACTTGACTCGCACCACTCGAAAAAAATACTATAAGCTCGCAGCACTGAAGAAATGTTTTAATCATCATTGTTGTCTTCTTCTTATCTTAGTTATTTCCTCCTATCTCGGAGCACCTATGTAACACAGAGACAGATGCAACCAATTTGACATTCAAACTCCTTATTGAAGAGGAACTGACAAACTAATAAAAACGATCAACACCATGCATCAGTGCACAAAAAAAAGTTTGAGAAACACGAACCAAACTGCACGATGTAGGGCTGTGCTGTGTATCACAATTAACATTTCAAGTAGTCTTCAAGCCGCGCTTCTAGTAGTTTATATATTTATTTTCTCCTTTTCAAACACAAAGTATTCATAAATATTTTTCTCTAATTCTTCGTCAATTTATCCCTTTCTGCACCCATTGTATAAAAAAAAATTAATCAACGTGTGGTTTGTTTGATCTCAGTTCTTCATTGGTATTGGTTAAAATCCGATTATGACGTCGAATTTTCTTGCTTTCCTCTGAATTTCCCATTGTGACGGCATGAAAAAAGGCGACCATGCCTGATGACGTCATATAGAAAGAACACATCTTTTTGCAGATCATTCGAAAAGAAGGAATAAATGTGCCTGTGTATTGTTTGAAAATCATTAGAGAAACAGATTCCACCACCAAATCTCGTGTAATACGATATTTATCCACTCTCGACAGTTAAATTTTAAATATTTAAAACGCTCGGCGAGCCTCGCGTTTTAAATTTGAAAATTTAACTGTCTCGAGTGGATAAATATCGTATCACACTCGATGCAGTGGTAGAATCTATATATATACAATGTGTGCCTTTCCAAACTTTTTGGTTCCGAGTAAACAATGGTGGAGGTAAATTCAGCCTGAATAACATTTCGCACGCAATAAATTTGGTTTAATTGTAAATTAGCACTATTTCTATAACTAAAGACCGATACATTCCAAGCATATGATTAATAACATTGTACTAATAAAAATATATTATTACATAAAAATGGCACAGATGACATATCAACAATAAATTTCATAACATGATATATATATATATATATGAGATATCGTATAAATAATACTTCATACCTAGTCAGTTATTCATAGAGGCATAGTTTTATTGCACACCGTTACATTTTGTAATTGTTACTTCAAGAAGTCATACAAGCAGCACTCGGATTCTACGAACTAACAAAATTTCTAAATGGTCATAATTCTGAAAAACTGAATAATTGCGCATTGTTATCCACAAGAAAACAAATACTTTGATTTTGAATATTCCAAATAAAAGAAACGGCATTGCGAAATAAGAATGCAAACCAATCAAATGATCTTTTTCTATGGATACACCGTATATTATTGTCTTTAAACGTGATCATCATGCCATGCCTAATTTGTGTATAACAATGGCCGCATTTTAAAATTCTGAGCTATATCGGTCGCTTCTAAAATTATAAACTGGGACTAATGTTTTTCGAATGAGTTTTTGTTAATTATGATTTCATTATAATAATCATACTTATTACCTTGCAACTAATATTAAGAGGTTTTTTTAAAAAAAAAATCCAATATATATTTATTGAAATAGCCCATTCTTAAATTAACAAATAGTAATGTTATTGCTAGTAACAACTACACACATATTGATTTGTCAAGATACACAACATGCCCTTGACTTCTGTTCTGCTCGTGCCTTAGCAACAAGATTTGTCAAGATACACAACATGCCCTTGACTTCTGTGCTGCTCGTGCCTTAGCAACAAATCTAGCCACTTGTAAGGCTGTTCCCAAGCTATTCTTGCCTTGAATAATATCACCGTTTGTTGATCGATAGCCATTTTGCTGATTGCCCTGCGTATTCCTACTAGGTAAGCACTGCAAAAGCTCGACACTTTCTTCATACTCAGGATCGGCTATTGTTAACACAGTAAAACTTCCGTCAACTGCCCCTATAACTAACGTACCTCCTTCCGGTGTACATGACATGACTTTAACTTCTGCGTGCGCTTTGTAATTTGCGATACGCTTCCCATCTGATATACGGAACACGCGGATGGTGCGATGACCAGAATGATAATATACAACATGGCGGTCGTTTTCTGTAAACATAACGTCGATACTGAATACACCTTCTGCAATGCGAGGAATATATGTTCGTAATGTTTTGCCAGATTTTAAGTCTAAAAGTTCAAGACCACCTCGACTTGGTGCAAAAAGTCCCTGTTTTCCGGTTTTCATCGCCATGCCGTTCCATCTAGTAGTAGATCGCACTAAAGTTTTTTTCTTTAAATCGAGTATGTTACCTTTGAATTCGTCAACTACAACAATTTGGTTCGGATCATGTGGCATTGGCTTTAAGCATGTCAGTTCTTTGTAATCATTATACTTCAACTGCAAGTTGTACAAATGTGTTCCAGTTTTAGCATGATAAACTCCGAGTATATCTCCACTTTTATCGCTTGCTGGAACAGCCAGAAATGACCCATCCATTGTAAGAACTCCTTTTTTGAACTTTTTAATGTTGTATTCAAATGTGAACACCGATTCGCCTTCGGGAAACGTGTATGCAACGCAATGACCTTTGTTAAAAGCCAATGTACCTATTGCTATCACACGAGTATCATCCTCATTCAATAAGAGTTGCTGAATATCTTTTTGCTGAATTGATTTTCCCACAGTTTCCTGACTTATTTCCCAAATCACCAATTTACCCGTTTCTGCAGCAGCGACAAACTTTGCATCCTTGTTGATGACGGCAAGTAAGACAACAGATTTTGTTTCCAGTGAATGTTCTAATTTTCCTGTCGCTAAATTCCATACACCTACACAGTTACGACTTGTAGTAACGCCAAAATGAGTTTCCCGTGCAAGGTGAATGTATTCAATTGGTTTTTCAAGCCTATCAATAGAGAACACTTCTTCCAAAATGTTATCGAAATTCCAGACCTTGATTGTCTTGTCGATAGAGGATGATATTAGTTTGTTTGTTCCTGCTGTTACTGAGGTAAGTGCTATAATTCTTCCAAAGTGAGCATCTAGAACTTTCACCATATTCCCTTGCTTTGTATCCCATACATACAAATTCTTCCGTACAGCAGCCACGACAAAATGGTTGCTTTTGGTAAATACTACTGAGCTCAGGAGTGGATTCCTGTTAGGAATGTTTCTGGTAGCAGGAGGAAGTTTAAGTTCCACCAATGAATCATTTTTCAAATTCCACAATTTGAAACCTAAAGCTATTGTCGCAACAAGATAGTTTTCATCTTCGGATAGAGTTAAGCTGAACACCATATCTTTATTATCTCCTAAAGTTCTGTCGTAATGCCAGGCATCATCCGATTTCTTGTAAACAGCAATATTATTATCGCTTATTTCAATACATGTATACAAAATCATCTTGTCTTTGGATACAGCTATTGCACTATGAAATTCAAATGGTTCTATAGATTGGTCTTGAACCTCTATAGCCATGTCATTGTCACGATCTGTGCCACTTTTAACAATAAGATAAGTTTTCTCGTCAACACCAAAGTCGACTGACATCAGTGGCATTTTGAGTTGAATTGTATGTGACGAAATATAAACACCGTTGATTGTGTATAAATACCATTCTTTGGAAGTCCAAGCTGCAACATGTGTATTTGAAACCTGGGTACCAATTACAGATTCTGTATTTCCTTTGGTTGTTGGGGTAATTGATATAAAATCACCAGTCATGATACAAGCAACGATTATTTGGTTATTGTTTGTGTAACTTACGGCAAAAATATCATTTGGTGATATTGCGAGATTTTGCATTATGCCTTCTATTCCGGGTATGATCTGTCGGAAAACATCTCCACTATGTAAATCCCATATAATAAACTTATTTGACACTGAGACTAGATACCTTCCTGTAGATGTACAGCATATTCCAAATGGTGCAAAAGGGTGACCTTCCAGTGAAAACTGTAAAGGGCCACCTGGAGTATGCAAATGATGATGAGCAGGGACTAATGAACAGTTGACTAGACCATCAGAATCGCACTGTTGAATCAAACTTCGAATATTCATATTAGACTGAAAGTATGGCAATAACCTACCAGTAATCTGAGGGCCAAGCATACTTGGATAATGATTCAATATGGAGCTGGATAAGCGAATTGCATCAGCAATTAACTTAACATCTTTCTGATATACATGTTCTAACAAATCTTCAAAATCTGCCACTACCGCTTGCAGTGGCATTGAACATAGCTTAGCATGCAACCAGTTGTAATTAAAGAGGCACGTGTTATACAAGTCTTCGTACTGGTGAGAACGCACAAGATGGAAGGGAAGTTCATTTAACTTCCGAAGGTTGTAACGAGTAAGCTTGCCGTCCGTGTCATGAAATGCAAGTGGCTGAAGAGGAACTTTGCGATCACTTTCGCCTTTCATTTCGTTCAGTTGAAACATCCTTCGTTGGTGTTCTGAATATTCAAATGGTTTTGGAATTCCTCCACCCCATGTTCCCATGAAATATTCAGCATTTGATGCATGCATTTGTGCAACAAAGTTCAAATTTCTGAAATACCTTTCCCGTGCCGCTTCAATAAATTGTCGATGGTACCAATTAATGACACTTACGCCGTCAGCTTCTCGCTCCGATAAGTATCCTGGCAGATCACTACGGATTCGTGTCCACAGTAAAGGTGGGATCCTCCGAACTGGAGGCAAGTGATACTGATAAACGTCATTCAAAACCTTTTCATCTAAAGATAATAAGTCCTCCAACTCGCTCTCAGATACTCCACTTTTTGCTGCAGTGATATAACCTAATGCATGTGCAACTAATGTTTTGCCGTGTTGATTCTCAATACGTTCAAACAGTTTCATAATGCTATCATGAATTGTGAAGTCTAAAACAGTTTGTTGTGGTTTAGTATATGACTTCCAACGACAAACTTGATCGAAAACAAGTTTTACAAAAAGGGGCAGATTGCATTTTGTAAAGGCTTCATTAACAATTTTCCATTGCTCCTCTGATATTGTTCGATTTGCATTTTTCAACCAAAACTTCAAAATCGTCGTACTCAAATTTTCGCCAAGTGGCAATACTTGAACATAATTTTCTTTTGGCTCAATCATGATTTTTAAATTATCTAATATATTGTACATGTTTGGGAGAGTTGACACAATAAGTTTGACGTGAGAAGGCAGAACCGCGGGTAACCATGCTAACTGATGAGCACCATCTGACCCCGATAGCTGGTCCAGTGAATCAAATATCAGCACGATAGGCTTTTCTTCAGATGCAAGTGTTAATAAGTTTTTGAAATGACCTACTAAGGGAGATAATTCATCAGGTATATTGTCAACTGGCTGGTCGTACATGAGAGATATCTGTTGTATGACACTCGTTAACAATGGGATGATAGTAGAACTGTTTGGCGTTGTACCTAGAAATCGTAGAACTAGAGTTGGTTCGTTGTCCTTTTTCTGCAACCATGACCTTGACTGAAATTAAAACAAAATCACTAGTTATCAAAGTGTTTACTTGAAGCAGCATCAGAAACAAAAGTCTATTGCATTTTGTGAATAGTATTAATAAAAAATTGCACAACTTATTGAAGATTGTGTATTTAAAACACTGCAGTATGCATAATTGTGTTTGTATTACAAGAAAGTATGTCCATTTTAGAACGAAACTTAGGTTTATCGAGCTATAATGAATTATAAGAGCCATTTCACATCTGTTTACTTGCTATTTACTGATTTGATGTTGATTGTTAGTGTGTAACGCCACTTTCAGCACTACTGAATATTTCACGGCGGCAAGTGTTTATTAGTGGAATATGCTGGAGTATCCGGAGAGAACCAATGAACTTCGACAGGAAAACAGGCAATAAGATCAGAGTCAAGCACACTTTGTAGGCCCACGGGCGGGTTATACAAGACAATAAGTAAATGATAAAAAAAACCAAGCGGGTTATACATACTGCGCTATTGCTTAACGAAGGAAAAGTGTTCACAAGAACTGCTAATCAACCAAATCTAAACAAAATAATAAAGACCAACATACTTAGATACTTAAGCAATAACTCATAACCTCGGTGTTGACAGGCTAGCGAACTACGTTTTAACTGAAATGCATTCAAAATTTTCAAATGATTTAAAAATCAGGAGATGTGGTATGATTTACGAAAAAACAAATATGACAGACATGAACCAACGACAACCACTGAACTAGAGGCTCGTGACTTGGAACAGGCACATAAAGAAAGTGACGGGGGTTTTAAGCTGAGTGCAAATTAAAAAATTGCACATTTGAATCTTTAAAAAATGGAAGTTAAAGTTTATTATAGAATTACAACTAACTGTGCTGTTTTTATTATGCCTTTAAAGTTTTAGGTTCAGATGAAATAATTACTTGAAAACGAATACTCATTACACATATCAAAGGGATCTAATTTTGAAAGTCCAATAGAGCTAGTATCTTATAAACTCCTACGATGAAGATCAGAACGTCAACATTCTTACATACTAAGTAATTTTCAAATATTTTTTGTAAGAATTTTTTCCTCGTCCACACGATATTCATTCTTTCAAATTTTCCGGCATTAGAGTAGATAGACTGTATGTCTTGACTGAATTTTATTTTAAAGTATTAACATCTTAATTTAAAATCGAAATTCCAACCTATTTTGATATGAAAATAAAAGTCAATGAGTAAACGTCTATGTCCGAGTTGGATTTCAAGCACGAGTTAATAACTGCTCTTCAGATCAAATGTTAATTCAAGTTGAAGTTCAAGTTCTAAAAATAGTTCAAGTTCTATCTCATTAAAATTAAAATTAAAGTTAGAGCTACAGTCCAGTTATAAATCGAGTTCGAACATAAGCTCAATAAAAATTCGTTAAAGGTCGATTAAAAGAAAATGGCGGGTATTAGAACTTTAAAAAGACAGCAAGTGAATTATACAAGAGTGCACACGCTGAAATGTCTCGCCTTCTTTACTAACCATTGATTTTATGTTGATAGTCCTAAATATAAAGCTTTACTACAAGTAACACATAAACTTAACATGCTCCAAGAAAATGAGGTCAAGGTCAGATAAACCAAACGAAAAATACATGTACACGTTACAATCATTCAATAAACCAAACATAGTTGACCTATTGCTTATAGTTTCTAAGAAACAGTCTTAACCAAGAAAACTTAACATTGACCAATGAACCATGAAAATGAGGTCAAGGTCAGATGATACCTGCCAGACAGACATATACACCTTACAATCCTTCCATACAACAAATATAGTTGATCTATTGCTTGTAGTTGAAGAAAATCAGACCAAAACACAAAAACTTAACACTGAGAAATGAACCGCGAAAATGAGGTCAAGGTCAAATAAAACCTGCAAGACTGACATGTACATCATAAAATATTTCCATACACCAAATATAGTTGACCTATTGCATATAGTATTAGAAAAAAAGACCAAAACTCTAAAACTTTACTTTGACCACTGAACCATGAAAATGAGGTCAAGGTCAGATGACACCTACCAGTTGGACATGTACACCTTACAATCAGTCCATATACCAAATATAGTAGACCTAATGCTTATAGTATCTGATATATGGACTTGACCACGTAAACTTGTTCACTGATCCATGAAATGAGGTCGAGGTCAAATGAAAATTGTCTGACGGGCCTTGCAAGGTACGCACATACTAAATATAGTTATCCTATTACTCATAATAAGAAAGAAATTAACATTACAAAAAATATTGACTTTTTTTCAAGTAGTCACTGAACCATGAAAATGAGGTCAAGGACAATGGACATATGACAGACGGAAACTTCGTAACGTAAGGCATCTATATACAAAGTATGAAGCATCCAGGTCTTCTAGCTTCTAAAATATATAGCTTTTAAGAAGTTAGCTAACGCCAACGCCGCCGCCGCCGCCGCCGCCGGATCACTATCCCTATGTCGAGCTTTCTGCGACAAAAGTCGCAGGCTCGACAACATAACAAGCGGTTATACATATAGTGCTTAACGAAGGAAAAGTGTCTACAAGAATTGCAAATCAACCAAATTTAAACAAAAATAAGTAATTGAGACAGCAACCGAATGATTCAAATTATAAAAAGATATTTAGAAGTCAAATTAATTTGTAGTACAAATTTATCATACTTCCTACAAATCTACTTTCTTTGATTTTATATGAGCTTCATCATAAATTTACGCACGGATTATAAATAAGCATTTTTTTATACAAAAACAATAATAAACTGTTGCAATACTTGAACATGAAAACTATACAAAAATTCGAAAGTTATTGAACCATGACTAAGGGGCAATGACCATATAACCTCCATTGAAATGAGACGGGCTAACACCAATACAACTACACACCAAATATTGTTGACTTACCATAAGTGGTTCCCTTCAAACTGACCTAATCACAAACTTTAACATTAAAACTAAGCAAAAGTTTCAAAATCAATAGACCATGGCTGAGGGAGCGGGGTTAATAACCTACACAGATATGAGATGTGTTAAAACGTTTTGAACTGCATGCACATTTTAATGATTCCCTTTTAAACTGACCTGGCAAAAACTTTAACAAACTTTTGACGCTGCTTAAGTATCGCTTTTTGACTTAGTCGAGGCGAGACAAAATGAATTGATTAAAAAAAAATAACAAACGAAAAACATTTTTTTGTTTGTTTACTGTGTACTTACTTGACTTGCTCCTTTGGCTGTTAAAGATGTCTTACCACAGCCACTTTCACCATGCAGAACAAATGGGAAATTAGAATCTCCTGTGACGTAAGCTTTAATTTGGTCAATTATATCCTGTCGTCCTTGAAACACTTTACAAAAATTGACACAAGCGTGGGAATGTTGTAAGACTTCCGTGTATACTGGGTCCTGGGATAACTTTTCGTGTTGCATCATTGCCCTCTCTACCAAACTAAGAATAGATGTATGAAAATGAGTTGTGAATTCCTTGATATAATCTGAATGGGATTCCATATCGATTCCTTCCTTTCCAGACCAATCCACTGTAAAACGAGCAACATTTGATTCAGGCATTTTCTTTGCAAGTTTTTCATCACGTAATGTTTTTAGTAACTTTTGTGCTTCGCCATCAACATTTCGAGCTGCAAAGTCAATAAATTTTGCAGCAAACCTGAGAAGTCCGACATTGATATTGCTAATTTCCCGTATGTAAGCTAGAGTGTGGTCTGTTACATTTGGAGCCTTTAATATACCGTGCTCTACTTCTCTTTCTGTAACTGTAAATTAAAAACATTGACACTTAACAGTGTGTTAGTTTCAAATACATTTCTGTACCATCCCAATTCGTTGCATGCTATAAATACAATGCAAAATAAATTTTCATTAAAAGTTTGTTAAATAAGAGTGCACATGCAGAAATGTCTTTACTGATCATGATTGGGTTTGATGTTGATAGTCTTTAATATCAAAGTCTTACTAGTGGTATGACATAGATTCTATGAAAAAGAAGTTAAGGTCAGCAGAACGATAAATAATATCGCATTGAAAAAACTAAGCATTTTGTTTTCATCATGCAGTCGTTGAACCATGAAAATGAGATAACGATAACGGAAAATGCTAGATGGAAGTTTAAGACCATCAGGCATCTGCATAAAAGATATGGTTTTCAGGTCTTCTACCTTCTGAAATATAAAGTTTTATGCCGATTGTGTACTCCGTCGTCTGATAACAAACCCATTGTCTCGTAATCTGCGACATATTACATTTTTTTCAAAACTTACCTAGACTTGGGGCGATTTAAGAGCTTTACATCCAGTATAGGTACTTGTCTATTGTTGCAGTCGTTGGGTTGCCGTCTCTTTGATGTTTATCCCATATCTCCTGTTATTTAAATTTATTTTCAAATGGTATCTGATTTCTAAATAAAACTTACCAGACATGAAAAAGTTGTGCATTTGTTCTCTGTCTATCCTTTTAGCAATGAATAAAACTTGCGCAGCTTTTCTGCAAATTCGTTGAAGTTTTGTAAACGTGTCCCACCATGTTGCTTGATCAGCATCTTGCAGACCTTTGTGTCTCTATAAAAAAGGTGTAAATTATATTATAAAGTGCAAGTTAATCATTTTTGACTAATGTTTTCATTATTATTTTGTATACACCATCATATCTTTGCAGCAAAGGAACGGTATTATCATGCATCTTATATTTTGTTTGATTAATAAAAGCATAATTCTGATACCTATCAGATTACGTCAACAATATTTTTTTATCCGGTTTGAATACCCATACTGTAATTAATTCCCGTATCTTCCGTATTAAATGTCTATTCCTGTCCGGGACATGTTTCCAAATCTATATCTCATTCTAGCCAATTGAATCATTGCTACATCATAAGGCAATCAATCAGAACCGATTGTTTAAAGTTATGATTTCAAGATGGCGTGAATATCGAATTAAACTAAAAGCTTCTCATCGTTATTCGGAGGGAAAATGATTTTTCCTAGTCATACGTATAAGTTTTATTATTCCTGATTCTTTGGAATATGATTGGACAGATGTTGATGAACTCCATATATCAAGGCAAAATTATAGCTTTATAAGAGAACTTCGTCCCAGTTAAAATTTAGTTACAATGCATTATGTTGTATTTCAATATACTAGTATACAAAATTATGAATGCTTAAAATAAATGGATCTCTAGTGCTCTCTTGAGATTAAACTTACTTTGTTGTTAAAATTAGTAAGAATCGAACTGATTGGTTGCAGGATATAAACGGGAGGGACCGTATTTTCATCTTGAATGTACCACTTGTCCATCAGTTCAAGTTCTTCCGGTTCCGTCTTGATACAGTCTCTCATCATTTCGAATTCTTTAGCATCTATATGTGTTGGTATCGGACGGTATCCATACTTTTGACCAAGAAACACCTGTAAATAACAATAATTTCAAATAAAGTTATTTTAATTTAATAATTAAAAATGAACAACTTCCAGACGTATAGTCGCGAATCCAATGCAACTAGTCTAACTTAAGTCATTTTAAGATCACTATTAGCTCCAGATGTATAGTCATGAATCTAATTGAGTCCTAAAAAGGAACATTCACACTATGAAACGAAAAATGGTCTGTTTTGGCTTAGAGTTTACCATATATATCTGAAATATCAAAATCTAGAAAAGAACAATATTGGCTATGTATATCAAATGTATTATTTTTTTTCTTCATTAAGAATAACTTATTGTATAACACTGTCCTTAAGCGACCCAAAACGCTGTAAATTAAATTTTTCAATCGCTTACATATATACCGCCTGATTAAATAAAACGTTTTTAAGCTTATACGTTAAAACAAAATTTTATAAAATGTGTCCAGTAATAAAAGGATACTGTAATGAATTTTGTGTGGTGGGTAGAAGGTTTAATAAAACTCACGTTTGATATTCAAACTAACCTCTACCTATATATTACATTCTTGCATGTCATTGATTGTTTAATATCTTAAATTGTCAACAACTTGAGTTTCTTGGAGTTTTGTTAAATTGTCTTTACATTCTGATCTATACAAATATCTTGATGAAATATTGTGCTGCATTAATTCATACAAAATCGATGTTTCTAAGCGCGTAAATTACTCCATCCCTCCTTCGAATGTGAATATTTATTTCGAGTGTAACACCCTTCAATAGGAAAGGGGAATCTATGAATACGTTGAAAGTGCGCGAACGAATAATTTGCGCATATTTCTGAAGCAAACGGAAATAATTCGTATGTATGCCTCGTGGTATTCAAGAAAAATGAAGATGACATTTACTCAAATGTGGGGCCGTTTCAGCCCATTCTCTTGTTTCACGCACGCGAAGAAATAAATTAATTACGTCTCGTTTCAATTATTACATAAAATTTTTATCATCTTCAAACAGTACCTATCGAATTTCAATTGAAAGCTACAAGCTATACTTTCCGATCAAATAAAGTTTATAATTAAATTATGGAAATTTCAACACTGAACACTGATGTTGTTACAATTTACATTTTATCGTCATTTATATTCGATTTTCTTGTGAATATTTTATGATTAAGAGAGACAATAAAATAAATAAAAGGTAAATTGGCTTGTTATGTCTAATGATTCTTGATGATTTTTGATAATTTATGATCAATACTTTGCTTTCAACTACATTCTAATTGTCGATAACATCCAATTCAACTCTTGAAAAATCGCACCATTTAAAAGAGGAATCTATATGTAATTTTTTTTAGATCTCTTTGAACATATTTTTTCCATATTAGAAAGCGTTGAGACCTGTTTGGAGACCGCTTCTCTAGTCCGCGACAATTATATCCAATCAATATGGCTCACTGTCCTAAAAATACCCGTAACAGTAGTAAGTAGCTCAGAAATCAATGATTTGTCTGAATGTACTTTCCGAAATTATGTATTTCAATAAATGTAGCTCCAAAATTGATAAAGATGCTACTAGAACAAACAAAAAAGGTTATAAAAAACATCGCATAACAACTTTACTCGTGAAATAAACCTGAACTAAAAGGATCGTGTTTGGTTATACACCAAATAGCATTTTGTTGGTAGTTTTGTTTGGTTGAAAGTCAATTGAATAAAATTATTTAGGTACAATCTGCTGCACTACTATTAAAATTTCCATTTTTTATATTATTCAATGTTAGTAAGTTTTTGCGCGTTTTGTTAGGACTGAGGTATTATTTGGTCCTTATCTTATCTAATGTTTGTAAGTTTTTGTGCGTCTTGTTAGGTATTATTTTGGTATTTATCTTATTTAATGTTGGTCATTTTTTTTGGCGCCTTTTATTATGTATTATTTTGATCTTTAGAAGTAATTTGCAATCGTTTCTTAATACGATTGACCTTATATGAATAGCAAAAATGTTAATTTGAAAAAAAAAATTTCAATAAATTTTGTTACTTATATACATTTAATTAACGAAGCCCCGGTTCACTTCCATTCCGTCGGTTATCTTTATCTTCTAATTTTCACAAAATGTTAAAAAATAATACTTCAATGACTTGAACTGAGTAATAATAGTTAACATAAACAGTTCGTACAACTTCTATTAACGAGTTTTAATCTTCTAAGTGGAGTTCGATTGTCAAATCAATGAGAAAATGGAATTCCAAATAGCTTTAGTTTGAATTAAACAAGATAATTCAAAAAATTCAAATTGGGAGTTTTATACCATTTTAAAATTGACTAGATGTTTTTTTTCCTGCTGCAAATTAACAGAAATCCTAAATATGCACATTTTTAAATGTTAATTTCAATCTGATTTGATGCATTTGATGAATTAAGATCTTCGTTAAATCAAGGGTGTTGTATTAACTTCCTTGGTTCAATAAAAACAGCCAATGAATGAGTCGGGCGATTACTCCTCATATTTCTGTTAGACAATAAAAGAGGCAGTATACACCAGACCGCTTTGTAATTGTAATCAGGGTGACTTAGTTAAGAGTAAGGGAAGACTTTGGGAGTAAAGGGCCATTTTTCATCTGTACGAGCCAAAGCGACAGATGCCTAACCTTTTTTATTTTTCTGTCTATCCTGTTTGGTGTTAAATTGACTACTTTCTGGATTAAAATTTGTATGTAACTTTTACCGTCTTCAATCGTTTCAATTTTCAATTTTCCGTTTTCTCATTTCCGAATCCGCCCTAATATCGACACGATTTATTTCTTTAATTAACAATTTACCTTAAAGATAAATTATGCAAAGTTAACATAATAAACGTTACTCCAATCGCATATCAGTTGGGATTTCATACTATTAAAGTAGTTTAAATATGGCTACTATTGTGACCTTCAATTTAACAGACAAGACATACTGCCACAAATATATCACCCTGAAATTTTGAAATTCAAAAATGTATCTTAAGACCACTTTTGAATTCAGCAGAAAGTAACGATTAATATATATCTACACTAACACACAAAAAGAAGTATTTAGTCGGAGGTTACAATGTCTTCTGATTTTTTCAATGCAATTTTTATTTTTAGATCGCCAGTCCCGAAAGTTCCGAAAGACCAGCGTCATCTTTTCTCATCACATTGCCTTTGTACGAAACTCAGAGTAGCAAACAGTTTGAAAAAAACATTCTCCTCTAAAATATTTTAAACCTCTCGAACACGACTTTGCCCAAGATAGACTATATTTTTATTGTTAATTCAAATGACGCCACCAACATACAATACATGAACAATACAAAGGAACTAAGTAATGGGTGTTGCAATACTGGGGCCAGTATCATGAAGCAATCTTAGTGCTTAAGATGATTTTAAGATCATCTTAACTGCTAAGAGCGTATCTTGAAGTAATCTTAGAATTATTGACCGCCCTTAACATTCATGTTGCACTCGCAAGCATAAGAGTACTCTTTATCCTTCTATGAACGCTAGATCTTAGTATCGTAACGACTGGGTATCTCGAACGTCGATAATCAACTTAAGATCATCTTTGATTACACTTAGCAAATTTTAAGTGTATCACCATTCTTTTTATACTGAAAACTTAACAGAAATTTCTAAGAGTGGTCAGAGGCACCCCTATTTCTCTCTTAGTTGATAAAATGACACTTGCACTGATCTTGCTTGTGCGTTCAAGAGAGCAAACTAGGATATCCATAAGGATCTTCAGAGATCTAGCAAATCCATTGGATTTCCTAGACGACAGTAGGATTGTCCGTGATTACAAAATCGAAAAATGTCCCGAGTACATGTTACAGCATTTTTTTCATCTGAATAACTGTCAGCATTGTTTCCGATTCATCTCGGTTAAAGTTGGATTTTCTTATAATAATAAGATGAGGTATGATTGCCAATGAGACAACTATCTTACAAAGTGCAAATGAAGTTGGATGTTTAAGCAATTAAAAGCAATCGTATAGCTTTCAGCAATGACAAATACCCATACCTTATAGTCGGCTATTATAGGCCCCCGACATGAAAAATATGAACAATTCAATTGAGTAAACCAACGGCCTAATCTATAACAAAACAATTTACGAAAACCAAATATGACAGGCATGAACCAACGTCAACCACTGAACTACATGCTCCTGACTTGAGACAGGCACACAAAGAATGTGGCAGGGTTAAACGTGTTTGAGAGAGCTCAACCCTCCCCTAACCTGGGACAGTGGAGTTACAACACAACATAAGAACAAACTCTGAAAATCAGTTGAAAAAGGCTTAACTCATCAGATCGATACAAAGCAGAAATACAGCTAACACATACACAAACCGGACGTGCAAGGGTATTTACACATCCCTAACAACAATAAAGACACAAAGTACAGATCTGAGGGTACTCGCAGTTACTGACAGCTAGTTCAAAGCCAATAACAACTAATAAAAAAAATCATGTATTTAAGACTAAATTATCAGTCAGTACACATCCAACATCCAATGGATTTAGTAAAGAGACGTCATTAACAGTCAGATTCGTTCCAGTTAACTTAATCTTGCATTACGATTTCGAGAATACTTCTAATTAAATGTTATCATAGATATAGAGATTTATTGTGGAAAACTGATACATTCTGCATGAATTAAACGAAGAAAAAAATGTATTCCACAACCTTCAAAAGGTGGGCTGTATCAATAGATTATATTAGTCAAAATTTAGTTAAAAATAAATTTGATTCAGGAGGTTTCTATTTTGAGTGAATTTAATTTTCTTTTATATAAATATATTTTATATTTATTTTAGTATGTTTATAATATTTCCTGATACCCCATAGCATTGCAATGTCTGAATCAAACCATGATGCTGCATTTTATCAAATGCCTTCAAGAAATCACAAAATATTGTATCGAATATATGTCCACAGAACACCATGCCTCTCTCACACAATCATAAGGTCATGTTCAGTGAACCGTGAAATCAGGGAGAAACTCGTAATTTGGCATACAATTCTTAAAGTTCTCCTCACAATGAACATATGTACTTAGTTTCAAGTTGATTAAAGACCGATACTTTCAATTTTATTTCGGTGGTAATTATGTTATTTGTTGATGCTTCTTACCACAAAATTAGGTCCTATAGACAGCCGCTGGCAGTTGTGTATCTCCTGCATACAAAGTGATGTTGTCATGTGATCATCTGTCGCCTCATCTCTTACACCCCATCTCATGTCAACAACCTGAAAAATTAACATTGAAGACTTCAATCAAACATTTATAAAGGAGCATTTTATCGCAAAAAGATAAATCACGATTTCTAGTTCGTTTCGTTTTATAAAGCACACAAAATCAAATGCCTGTATGTTAATTCCAATATGATTACTAGACGTGGACTTGCAAGCTCGTGTGGACGCGGACGCCAAAAGTACTGCATCAGAACAATGTAGTATAGCTCCCATTTCCTTTTCAACTTCGTTTTTGTTCCTTTTTTACTTTATGTATATACAAACTACAAATGGTGGCGCCAAAACCTGTACAAAAGTTAACTTTGAGCAGACTTTTTGGATGGTTTCAAAGTTAAAATAATATAATTTTATTTCAAGCAGACAAGCAAGTTAACTTTATAGATGGCAGACGAAGTTTAGGTCTGCCTTTTAGAACTACTCCAGTATAAAATAATCAGATGAGGTATGAGTGCCAATGAGACAACTGTCAACCAGTTCCCATGCAAATGACGTGAAATTAAGCAGCTTTTGACCTGTCCAGAATACATGTCTGCAATTAACTGGTCGTGAGGACAGATCTGTTCCTGTTCAGACCTGCAGATAGGTCTACTTTTGAATGTAACAGTGTTACACACATATATATATATATATATATATATATTTCGAATTTTTAAAGGCCACATGATCCAATGCAAGCATATATGCGAAAATAAGTGCTCCGTGTACGTTTTTTTAAACGTTTTATACGATTCCATGACGTATAATTGACAAAATATATTTTATTCGGTGATTGTTTATCGATAATTTTGGCTGGTAATAAACTTTCGGATCATAACTTTGATACCTCGACCAGCACAGAATCACGCTGAACGTGAAAAATACGTTAGGTAATAATGAAAGCATAAATAGAGCGATAAATATTTGTTTTTTAAAATATTTTCCATGGGTTCCTATTTGTAATTAAACTTTGACATAACAGATTTGGTCTATACACTTTTTTCTCGTTGTCGAATTTCTAACGAGAGGGTTCATGGTTAAGGTTACTGCATACGGTAAAGCTTCGGGGAGTTAGAGTTCGAGAGGACATAATTTAACAGAAGTACATTTATGAAGATTGGGATAAAATAAAGGGATTTTCCTTCAAATGAAAGTTTATGTACAACATTTTTATAGTAAAACTTAGCCATTCAAGTGTATAAAAAATATTCAACTATTTTGTTAAATTTTAAAGATCATGTGACTTTTACTTTTGCAACTTGAGGAGTAGACCAGACCAAAGTATATTTTAGAACAGGTCTGGGCGGTCTTGTCGAAATTCACTTTTGAGCAGGACTGGTTTCGTAGTTAATTACCCCGAGTTAACTTCAGTAGCGGACCTATTAAAAGTTAAATTCAGTAGTGGACCTTTTAAAAGTTAACTTCAGTATGAAGTTTTCGGCAGACATGAAAACAGCCTTAGGAAAAATTCCGTTTTTAATATTACATTGACTTTGGTCCTAGGACTGTCGAAGCAGTCATTAAACCTGTCGCAAGCTTAAGTTATTGCTATGTGTTTCTTTATTCTACATTGGCTAGAGGTATATGGGGAGGGTTGGGATCTCACAAAACATGTTTAACCCCGCCGCATTTTTGCGCCTGTCCCAAGTCAGGAGCCTCTGGCCTTTGTTAGTCTATTATGTTTTTTAATTTTAGTTCATTTATATGTTTTGGAGTTTAGTGTGACGTCCATTTTCACTGAACTAGCACACAATTTTAGTTAGGGGCCAGCTAAGGACCACCTCCGGGTGCGGGATTTTCTTGCTGCATTGAAGACCTATTGGTGGCCTTCGGCTGTTGTCTGCTCTTTGGTCGGGTTGTTGTCTCATCAGGCTAACTTTGACCAGATAAAATGTCTGGTCATCAAGCTAACTTTGGACAGACAAAATGTCTGGTCATCAAGCTAACTAGTTGTATAGGTTATGACCGCACTCATCTTTATCTAAGGATAAAGGGAAACAATCGCAGTTCTTATCTAAAACTTTAGATAATTTTTGGGTGCGTTCTTTATGTTGTCAGTGTTTAAAATTAAAAATCTAAGACACGGGACTTTTCAAATAACCGGAAAATATAATTCATCAACTCTCTATCAATTTGGAAGAAATCAATTGAAAATATTTATGTCCATTTCAAAAGCAATTATGAAAAGCCATAAATGATTAATTGTCATAAACGACCACTTTTCTTTCATTATTTCATCATCATCGCCCTCAATTATCTGTCATTTGATAAGATACGTTGTTTTATTTGTTGCCGTAAATGAAAACACAACTTCCGGTCTAACATTGTCGAACAATTATCAATTCCATCTAATTTCTAGATTATTTTCAATGACAACATTAGAGCTTAAAGTGGAGTTAATTATAACAAATGGTTTGGTGAATTTGCAGAAATGAAGTTCAAACAAATGTCTTAAAATAGTTTCAAAGTATGAATTATTGCTATTTGTGAGGAGAAATTATAATAAGATTTCACAAAAGCATAATTATTGAAGGACTGACGAAGTATCAAAAATACAAAATAAAAACATGATCAGAAAGTTACAGTCCTTTCCTTTAAGACAAATTATACTTTTATATACATGTATATCATGTTCAGAAGTCTAGTAAACTTTAATAGATATAAGAAGATGTGGTATGAGTGCCAATGAGATAACTCTCCATCCAAGTCAAAATTTATAGAAGTAAACCATTATAGGTCACAGTACGGTCTTCAACACGGAGCCTTGGCTCACACCGAACAGTAAGCTATAAAGGGCCCCCAAAATTACTAGTGTAAAACCATTCAAACGGGAAAACCAACTGTTTAAAGCTGTTTTCTGACATGATTGATTTCAATATTACTTTTTGTACCAATGAAAGCACACTTTTTAAAAACGAATTAAAAATATCTTTGTTTTGTAACAGGCCGCAAAAAGGAGCTTACACTTTTATATACCGATCATCAAAAAGGAGCTTACACTTTTATATACTGATCATCTATTATGTTTTAGTCACACTACGTTATTAATCAAACGAATGATCTTCTGTATTTTTAAAGGTATTGTGTATCCATTCATGAGATAACTTCTTTTATGTGTGCCACATCATTCTCTCAATTTAAGGCCAGTTTGTGTACTAAAATTTCAATAAGACGCATACCGCCTATTCTTGGCCCTCATTCCTATCCACGTAAAATTTTTCACTTCCAAACATTTTATGGGGGCGGGATCAATATACCGTTATGTATACATTAGACCGTACTGGTTACCGGAACTTTGGATACACCAAACCAGTGATTTCATATCTGAGAAACAGGCAATATATGCTCTCAATTTTAGAATTCATTCAAACAATTTTTATATTATTCAAAATTATCAGTCAATATGCGTCCTACAAGGATCACCAGTACTTTAACTATCATTTGATATCTTAATAACTAAAATATATATTCTATAGTTTTATATTTACACCTATGCGTAGGAACTATTACGTTTTAAATATGTACTACTTTCTAGTCTGTTCTTTTTTGACCGGGCCCGATTTGGTGGTGATAAATTTTACAAAGTCTATCCAAATCATTTTGCAAATAATTCCACTAACGCTAGGAGCCGTCTTAAAATTGCAGTGAGGTGATTTTTTTTGGATCCGTGTTGAAGGCCTCACTGTGACTTTGAGATGAAGAACAGCAATAAAAGCGCTGTTCCTGTACTCTTTGTTGTGTTTTTTGCTGTGCATTTACTGATTTTGTGTCATGGATGGATATCCCATATCCTGTGTTTTTCTTTGAAGTTGCATATTTAAAAAAAAAACATAAGATATTTCTATAGCTTCTAAAAGAGATTTTATACCAGTTTTGTAACACGTTTTCGATTGGTGTTTAAGAAGTAAAAAATAGATTACACTATTTCAAATTCTGCTTTGCTCACGATTTCCCTTCATAGAGAGATAAATATTTCTCGTACCACACCTGGGACTATTAGTCCCAGACCACACTAATCATGGAGTGTGATATAAACAAGTCATACATCTGCTCTAAGTTCGTTAATTTGATTGGCCTATTCTACAATGAAAAACGAAATAGCTACATTTTCATTGGCTGTTCGTTAGATAAAAGGATTGAAAATCTACAATTTTAAAGCCAGTTATTCATTGGGTACATACTTAAATATCTTAATTTGGGTAGATGGTTGTTCACTATTGGGTATTTAACATTTGTGTTGATTAGTTTGATCGCAACCCCGCTTTGGTCTTTTCGAAATACGACAGCAAGGTTGCAGACGACGAAAATTTGACGAGAAAATAATCTTCTTAAAAACCCACCACTCTCCCATTGTAAATATTTTATGTTATTTGTTCTGAATGGAAGTAAGAAACCAAAAACTGCTTTTAAGATTATATTTCAGCTTATTTCTGGTAATGGTACCGAGATAGGAGAGTAGGAGACAACTAGTGAACATAATGTAGATGTAAAAGTTGGACATTGGCAGACTGACACATTTCGCTGTGCTGGATTTAACATTCATATATTCAGTGAACAGTTATGAAAGCCTCTGATTACCAGGGTTCATCAGTCAACTTCTCGTACCAGACATATTACTTAAATATATTTATATTAATGATCTGCCATAATTTGCGGTAGCTACATTATGATTTACATATATATTAGATACAGACATTGGTAAATATATTTAAGAGCAAGATTGCCAATTTTATATACATATTATATATCATATATGTTATATTTTATTCAAGATAAAGCTGTGGCCAAATACTGCCAAAACCTTATTATCTATTTGTTATTTTTGGTCCTCAAGGATAAATGATGACTAGGAAAGGTCGTGACGCCAGCTTAAAATCTCCTAAACTGTGAGCATCGGTCGGTACAGTAAATGAGCTATGTCACAGATTTTGGTAAAACTTTGCATACAACTTTGGCTCGTTAAACTTGAAATGAAATCGAAACAAATACGACTTATAATTCGATGACGTTACGCTTAT